AATGCCTCAAGGCCTAGATATGTCAAAGAACGTGTCTCCGCTTCGAGGCATTCCTTGGTGAATCCATCAGTCCCAGTGCTTCGAGGACTGCCTCAAAACAGTCAGACCAGCACATACCTGAGGGAGTATTTCAGAAAAGATGTGACTGGCTGAAAGATGTAGTCATTGAAACTCAACGGGCTTCTTCAACGTCTCGTATGCCCAGACGTGTATGTGCTTATCTATTTATTTATATTTAGATGACGGCAGTGAAGTGTGTCCTGGCTGTGGATCCTGTATACATCTTCATAACAAATGTTAAGTGCTGGACAGTATAGCTGTGAACTTTGCTATTCAGCTCTCCCAGGTGACACGTCTTGGGTGTTATGCCCAGGCCCGTGACTTTACTTGGCAACTGGACCCTTTCAACCAGCAGCCAATTGCTTCTAGCTGCCATCAATATCTTTGAAGACTCAGAATAAAGATAAAGTACTTTAGGACTCTCAGCTGAAATTTGGAAACAGAGTTGCTTGCGTTGTCTAGAAATCAAACTTTCTTTTCCTAGTTGAAGAGTAAAGTTGTAAAATGAATTTTTCACATGTGGGATGTTTTATTTCCTGGAAATGGTCTTCTGTAGAAATGTTTTGCTCTTTCATGTCTTGCACAAGCCATTGTTTTTTAAACCTAAAGATTTAAGTTTTCATTTTGAAAACACTGTAACAAATTGTTTTGATGCTTTGGAAATCCACCTTGCACCTTCCTTGGAGAGCAGGGTCAGACTCTGGGTTTGAAGCAGCTGAGTATGATAGCAAATACTCTCCTTGCAATACCAGACTCCTTAAGTTTCCGTGAGAATCTGGTTGTCCATGTAAGTCAGTAAGGGATATGTAACTATAGGTACAAGTGACAAGACTGTGTTTGACTTGATTCGTCCTCAGATTTTGTTGTTAACCTTTACGACGAAGAGGTCAGTTGGGCTCTTTGGAGTAGACAGAGGGTTTTGTACCTTCTGTTTAGTGGGACTCTGAGTGTGCTCAGGTAAAAAGGGTCAGTAGTAGTGTGTGTGAGGGCTACAGGGGCTGTAGCTAATGCTGAGAAGATGAAGAACAGCTGCTAAATCCTCAGAAGGGATAAAAAGAAAGATTTCCTAAGACCCAGACAACTGGGTAAGGCTTGCGGCCGTTTAAGAAATCGCTGACCTGGTTGGATTTGAGGACTTGTCTTCACAACGCAGAGTTGCATATGTGTGTTTTAATTTTACTCTGCTTTACAAATTGCTTTGACCTTTTTCTCTTTACGTAAAATCAATTGTTTTAGTTGTTACTTGTATAAAACCTGGTTTCGGAGGGGTTTAAAGACCTTGGCTTTGGGAAATTTAGAGTAAAAAAGGCTTTGGGCGATTACACCTCTGTTTTCTGGCTCCATGGGTTTATTAGGTAAGACCAATCTGCAGAAAAATGGTTCCTGTGTCTTCTCTCAGCAGCCGTTCCTTTCAATCCTAGTAAACTAGCCCTGAAATGAGTAACGTAAAGTAACGGTGAAACTTCCCAGGGCGTCTGATATGACTTCAAAGCTGAGAAGAGTTACAGGAGAATGAAGGAAAAAGCAGTATGGTTTAAATGAAGAGAGACAATTTAGGTAGTCCTAAAAAGCTTCTGAAACTTCTTACTGCCATTGAAGATCACAATTCCTGTTTCCTCTTTCAGTGCCGGACAAAAGATACCCGCACAAATAATTTACTTTCTGTATAACAATGTAACCTCAACACTTCATTTCAAAATAATAAAATTGTGGGGTATTTTTGGTTGGTTGTCTGCTTGGTTGTTTTATTTTTTGTTTGTTTTTTAAATGACATGAGAATGAAATTAAAACAGTTTTGGTAGAACGAGGCATTTCTGGTAGAGCTAGATTCTTCTTAAGCTTGACAGCCAAATCCATATACTGGCAATCTGGAAAGAGGGAAAAAAATGTGTTTCTGTGAGCCCATCCTTTTTTAGGAGTAAGTGTCTTTTGGAGATACTCTCCGAAGCTATCTGTTCTTTTCTGTCAGTAGAAGGAATTGTCTAGGCTGCTTTCTCCCTGCTTTGTGATGCTGCAAATACAACTGTCATACTTTGAAGTCTGGATCTTGACATTTGAAAGACACATTGTATATTCAATATCTGGTGAGTAGTTTCTTCAATGTAAAACATTTGCTACATGATTTTTTCTAATCTCACAATATTCTTTGCACACTTTTCCCACAAAAAATAAAATGACAATTTTATTCTCCACAGTAAAGTTTATGGAACTTTTATAAAATTTGTAGAATATAGACCTTAAAAAGTAATTTTCCTGAGGGTATATTTGTGAAGATTGTATTACTAAAAAGCAGTGAGGTAGGGTAGCAATGTATTATAAGGATAATTCATGCATGCTATACCATACTTAACTTTGCGGCAAGTTTTAGATCAGCAGGACTTTTCTAGGTTTTTTGGTCATCATTTCAAATTGTGAAAAAAATGTATTTTTAATTGTTATTTTCAGTTTTACAGAATTCTTGGATCCGTTCCAGCGTGTTATCCAGCCAGAAGAGATCTGGCTGTATAAAAATCCTTTGGTGCAATCAGACAACATACCTACGCGTCTTATGTTTGTAAGTACTGAAGGTTTATTGGTCATTTGATGGCTGTAAATTAAGTACACTTTCATTTGATAAGCAGTAGGAAATCTATCAGAAGTATAGGACGTTCCTTTAATTCTAATGACAATTGTTTTCCAAGCCAGGGGTGTCCAAAATGGCAAAACATAGGAAATTGTGTGGCGTTTCTAAAAATCAGCATTACCAGGTGACTGAATTTATGAAAGTTGATTTTACAGTTCAAGGTTTAAGCTAGTGTGAACTTAGAGGGATGCTAGATAAATTATGAGAGAAGCTTTTTGAATTAGGTGGTTGGGTGACCAGACAAAACCTTGCTATACTCTTATTAAATGCTTAAATTTTGAAATCTGATTCGTTTTAAGCATGGTAGGCAAGGAGTTATTTGCCTCCAAATCCTTCTCCCCCCCGCCCCTTGCAGACAAAACCTTTGTTTTAGCTTCTGCCGCCAAATGTACTAAATACACCGTAGAACTGCTTTGCTGTCACCATTCTTTTGGCTCTCCCCAGCACAGCTCGTGTTGACATGCAGACTGGCTGTCTGATTTTTATGGTTTGTCTGGTTATCAAAATTCATGGTTTTGATAACCTTCATTAGCAATGATTAACAATCGTAATAATCTACATACATAACTATAAGAGTGCAGTAAGGTAAACCACTACAAGAATTGCTAAGAAATTATGGGTAGAGTTCAGGCTATTAAAACAAGTAGGTCAGTCTTTGGAAAAGCTTTATGAGTCAAAGTGGAGATTTTGCAGGAATGGGCATGGCAGATGAGGTCAAATCCGAGTACCCCTGTGTTAAAGCATCTTCTCCTGTGTCTTCAGCGAAGCCAGGGTTGTACTTTTCAGATTAAGGCTTGAATTCAGAATGAATGCAAATCGGGTATGCAGTTTGTCTTCAGTGTTGGTTTTTTTGAATGCTCAGGCCTTCAGCTACGGAAACTTGTTAATTAGGTAGGGAACAACTTGAAGGCGCTTCCTATTTATGAGGTGACAATATATCCCAGCCTTCTAAGACATAGGCTGAAGGCCTGGTTTTAAATTCACCAACATACTGTTTATGTTGTATCAAGAATAAACTTAAGTATTAAAGACTTTTTCAGCCTGGATGGCTGAAAAATACATGTTTTTCTTGAAATGGGAGACAGATGTGTAAAAACAACAACAAAAACCCCACAAAACCAAGCATTAAATTGTTGTGCTAGGAAAGACTCTTGAGTTTAATTCTGTCGTTTTTCGTTACGCTGAGCATTATCTTGCTACGTGGTTTCTCTGATTTGTGTTTATAACTGGAGAGTTCAAGATCCAATAGTGAATCGTTGTACAGGGTTTTGCCGCACTGGTGAAACTGTTTTTGGAACCAGTTGGGATAATCATTAGTCCATCTGTTCTCCAGGCAGTGGCCACTGGGAAGCACAATTCTAGGGTATAAGTAATACATTTCCCTGTTAACCACTTCCCATAGAGCCAGCTTTTGGTATACTTCATGCCAGGTGGAACTTCCAGGCAGCTCTGAGTCAGTAACGTTGGTATGGTTTGTGTTCTCTTTCTGGCTCAGACCATTGACATCTCAGTAACTCAGTGAACAGCTTCTTAAATTAAGAAATGTAGATAATATTTATAAATGTTTTTTTCTTATTTCTTTCATTGACAATCCTGTTGGAGAAAAATCCAACTCCATTGATCACAAACTTTCATTATGTAAAGAATTTCTTGCCACTAGTGTTGTACTCTGATCTTGAAATGTATGGCTATGGCTTAACACAAAGCAATCTCTAAGACTTTGTGAACTGCTGGATTAATTTATATGCCGAGAGATTTGAATTCAAGAGAAATGTTAAGAACACTCCAAACCCAGATCCAAATTGGACAAAGCTGACTTCTGCATGGGTAGCAAGCAAGCCACAAGGACTGGGGAGACCTTGTTTTGTCTCTTTACCAGTGGATATTCCTTGTCTTGGGAAGTGTAAGGTACTGTCAACTTCTCTTGAACACATGGAAGTATGTGGGAGTCCCTGTAACTTTAGCGTTATCTCTGGCTTGCCAAGATGAATAATGAATGAGAGAGATTTTGTCCCATGTTTCACAAAAGCAAGGCAGTATTGGAATATTTCACTGCTGGAAAAGAAAACACTACTGAGATGTATCTGATGAGAGTATCACTCATTAGGTTGTTGCCAAATCTGTTATGGAGATGAGCCATACAGAATTTTTTTGCAAAATAAAGAAAAGGGAGTCTTTAGCAAGCCAAGTTTTCTTTACATGTGCGTTTTGCTGCAGAATAAAAAACACCTTCCAGCTAATGCTTTTGTGTAAGGAACAGCAATGTACTGCAAACTTGAATAGTTCTTCATCTCTCTCAAAAATCCATATGCTTGTGAAATATGAGGAAATCTGCAGTTTTACCAGATTTCTGAAGATTGATTGTGAAGTGGTTTGGAACAAACTGCCACTTGAATTCTATTCTTTGTTGATATTTTCTGCTGCTCCTGCTTGTTCAAAAGATTTCTAACTCCATTAAACCACCACTATAAGCCTGTCAGCCTGGCTATATTTCTACATGTTCTTCAACAATGGAATGCAGATATCTTTCTTCTTTTCTTTCCTGCTAGCGATCCTTACTTTTTAGAACAAAACTAATAATTCTAGGTTTTGCTTTAATCTTTTTTAATTTCACTCTTTGTCTCCCAAAGCAGAATTAAACTATTGGTGAGGATAGAGAGAAGTGAACATTCCGGGAGCAGTAACATGGCACTGGCATCCAAACTTGAATCTCGCACACACTGTAGAGAGAAGGGAGTTCTAAGTGGAAATGGTGCATCTCTCTGCACAAAACCTGGTGCCGCCTTTCTAAATGTAAAAAAGGGGAGAAGACTCCAGGCTGTGTTTTAATCTGCATGGCTCACAGAGTTAGATATTAAACATCTAAATATTA